TGCCTCTCCCGCTGCTCCCCTCAGCAGTGTCTTCTGTCTGTCTGCCTGTTCTGCTCCCCACTCTGTCTCTGGTGATTTCTTTCACCCTCCCATGCCTCTGACTATACTCCAGTTCTTATATAAATAAAAAAATCTTTAAAAAGAAATAGGAAGTTGCCTATATTTTCCAAAATTCAACCTAGTTCATAAAAGGGGTTCAATCACTTTCCCCACCACTCAAAAACACTGTCTCAATTCCTTCCCAGTGCACGTTCTAGTTAGGAACTGAACCAAGCTATATTAAGGACAATTATAAATAAAAGACTTGAAACTGTGGATCAGAAGGAGGGATAGTGGAGGAAAGAAAATTGAAAATAGATGCCATCATTCCTCATAGGGCCCAAATCAGCCTTTGGAACACATAAGTCAATTTAATGCCTCTTGTTATCGCTCATAATTAAGAATTTTGAGGAAATACCAAATGCCTAAGAGTTTAGGATATTTTTTTTTTCTTTTTCTCCAAGTGGGAGTTGGAGTTATGTGATTTCAGCAAGGTTGGAGGATGGAGTGTGAGGATAGCAAGAGGTTCCAGTGGAGCTCAGACTGAAGTCCAGCCCTTGCTATGCAACTAGTGGGCTCTGCTCATGCCTTGACACTTGTTTTGACAAGGTAAAACTTCAATTTACTTCTATAGAGAAGGGTTTGCTTTCTGGCTTCAGGAAAAAAAGATTTTTATGTGTAGATGTCTAAAGTGAGAAATACCACCTTGGCCCCAAGATCTATTTATTGTCTCATTATTTATACTCCCATTTTTACTGCGTTTCTCTAATTATATTATGTAAATATCACACATTCATTGTGAACAACTCAAACCATTTATAAAATATGAAACTTCTGAAATATAAAAATGTAATAAAAATTATCTTGTCATCTTACCATAATAATTAGCATTAATATTTTGGTGACATTTTTGCATGCATCTCTTTACATATCTATGTGTTTTTACATAAACAGCATTTAGCATAAATGATAATTTTCCTGGGATACCTTTCCACACCCATATCAGCAGCTTTATCCCCATCTCCATTTTCCCCAAGTAACACACATATCTTAGCCAGAAAAAAACTTGAGGTTTTGCATGCAAATAGTTTATTTGGGTTCATTACCATGGGAAAAGGAAGCATAAAGCAGGGAGTGGAAGAAAAGTTGATAACAGGGTGCTTTACTGACCTGGGTACTGCCATGGGCAACTGGGGTTCAATCTCCCTGGGGCCCTCTAAGGAGCTATGTGGAATACACCTCAGAATTGTCCACCGATGGAAGGAAAGATGGAGGGACCTATTTACTCACTGATTTCTATCTCCCATAGATCGAGGGTCGCCACAGGGGCTATTAATTCCCTCTCCTAGGTTGTACATGAGTGAGCAGGTGCCAGACCGGTGCAGCAGTCATCTCACAGAATGGCTTCAGAAAGGACCTGAGGCAGAAAGTGACAAATAAAGTGCAGCTGGACTAAGGTGGTGGAAGGTTATTCCTGCATGGAACTGCTCACTATGAAGCAATAAACCATAGCAGTGAAAAGGTGAACTGAAGGGATAGAAGACATGAGGCCTGAGAAATGTTCCATAAGGTCTACTCCTTACACCACTCAAATGTTCTCATGCCCTCTGCGGAGTCCAGTCAGTCAGAGGGTCTTTGATGTGGTGGTCAGTGACAAGCTCTACAAAAGACTCAGTTAATGGAGCCAAGCCTCCACAGATGCATGTGGTCACAACACCATTATCAATGTGCTTTGTCTCTTTCCCCCACACCCATTCCAGATTCCCCTCCCCCTGGAGCAAACCTACATTCTTCATCCCTGTGGAGTTGGAGGCTGAGTCCCTCACCCCCATCAGGACATGGTTTCTGCATGGCCTGCTTGTATTTCAACTTGGCAAGAAGCCCCAGATCTCCAGAGTTTCTACACGTGCTCCTTTCTTACTCCATTGTGCAGCAGCAACCCTAGCTCCTCATAGGAATCAGGGTCAATTATCCTGAAAACGATCACAATAGAGTTCATTGTGGCTCACTGGCTCACGGAATATAAATGCTTAGGCAGTAGATATAACATCAAATCCAGCAGAACCTTGCTGGTACAAATATGCCTCCCAACCTCCCACCTCACATCCCTGGGAAGCCTCTAATCTAATAGGGTGAAAGGCATGGGGTGAGATGAATAAATTCCTCCAGTGGATCATTAGGAGTAATGGTGAGAGTGGCTGATCCTTCTTCACCTCTTAGTTCCAGGATCCATGCTTTCTCGATATTGGAACACAGATTATATATTGGCCATTACTTCAATGTGTATAACACATGTTGAAATCTGCCTTCCACCATCACAGAGTGTTTTGCCCAAGATAAAATGTTAAAAGTTTTTAATGTCTCTCATCCTTCAATTATGCTGTCAACTTCCAGGTGACATGCTGTATGGTAGAATCAGTGATTCCTGCAGACATGCTGCTAATGTCATACTTATTTCACCATAAAATGTGCCCACATGTTATATATCAGAGGCAATGTTATATAGGCTCTATGCTGTTAAATTAGGCAATCTGTTGGCTCTCGAATGGAGATGCTGGCAGTCAGGGAAGGGAATCTTACATCCAGAATGGATGTCAATTCTTGAGAACAAATCACTGTCCATAACAGGGTAAACTGGATGAAGAAATGCACCTGTTACCATGTAGCTGTCTGGTCTACTAAGTGATGTTATCACAGCAAGAGCTTGGCTGTGATTTCTTTGACTGGAAATCTGGGCATTCATGAGTGACAGTGACTGATGAATCTCCCATGATGAGAAGAAACTCATGCTACTGGACTCAGGTACAGGTATGATCAAATCACTCTTGATCTCAATTTTTATGACTTTCAGGGACTGTTGAATCAGCCCTGGGGTGACCAACGAGAGAGGCTGAGTGTTATCCACACAAAGGGGACATTATCTGTGGTAGGTGCTCTCTGAGGTGAGACCTAAGATGAGACACAAAGGTCTTACACCCTGTGTCCACTCCCATGGACAAAAACGCATTTCCTAACTTCCTTTGACGTTCATCTTCTCATCTTGCTCCTTCTCAGCACTGAATCATTCAGAAAGTCACAAACCACTGCCAGGAGTCTATTTTATAGCCATAACGGAGGGAGGTCAACATTGCCACCATTCAAATTAAGTCATCAGGGCACTGCCTGCAGCTCTTGCCACTCCTCGCTGTCTCATTGGGCGCTCCTGGGTGAGACTATTTAATGAAATTGTAGCCCTGGATATCCCATTACATCTCTAATCTTAATATCTTCCTCCTAAAACATATGTTCTTATAAATGGATGTCCTAACATGGACTGATGTAGACATTAATAATGATTTCTTGATTATACTTATGTAATGACATATGGCTGATTTGATAGATATTGCTCATTTGCAAAACCCTACCGATTAACTTAAATTGAGCATCCCCATTTTTTTTTTTCTTTCTGCAGAGAAGAACTAGAGTGTAGGCTTGAAGCATGGGAATAAGAGGATTCACCAGAGACAGAGTGGGAAGCAGACCAGGTAGATTTACTGAAAGACACTGCTAAGGGGAGCATCTGGTGAGATAGGAGAAGTCTGCTGAGCCCTAGGAGGGTCAGCTCCCTGGCCTGGGCTAGACTCAGGCCTCAGTGGTAACAGCGCTGAGACTTCACCCCTGGGACACCAGGGAGGCCCAACAAACCAAATTTGCATTACACCTACCATGTGTGCTACCTCTATTGTGTACTTGGGAAGATCCCAGGTCACCACTTATGTGGTTCCTTCTCTGTAAAACGTCCAGGTAGAATTCAGAATAGAGGTAACAGGCATGTGAATGAATCGGGGACTGAGGGGCCTGGGCAGTGAGTGGTTTGATTAAACGGTTTACACTGGGTTGTAGATCTTCCGCAAGGCCACAGTGAGAAGGAGGCCAGCACTATGACAGAACTGGACTCAGAAGGAGTAAAAAAACTTGGGTGATACAAAACAAACTTTATTTGTACTTCCATAATGAACAAGAAACCTTGGAGGAAATAAAATGAAAACAACTTGAAATCAATTAGGAAACAAAGATTTGAACTACAAGAGGAGGGCCAGGTGTCTGTGGGTGCAGGGTTAGTAGAAGTTAAATGAGGACATGTGGCTATGGAGGTGGGTGAGGAGAGGTTTGGGGTCAGCGGTGCTTAGTCTGTACCAGAGGTGGACAGGCAGGACAGGGGTCAGGGATGGGACCCTGGAGGAATGGCATCAGGTGAGCACCCTCTGCTTGTGCTGCAGGATCCCTGCAGGGGCTGGTTCCCCAGGCAGGGCTGCTGTGGCTTAGCACCCTCACTTGAACCTGCAGGATGTTGGCCAGAAATGGCTTCCTCCCACAGGCATGGTTTGAGCTCAGGACGCTCTTGCATAGGCTGCATTCTCCTGACCAGGGCCTGGCTGTCCCGCAGGGGTGGAGTGAGCTCAGCACTGTCCCTATAGGGTTCAGTATCCTGGTCATTGTCTGGTTCCTCCCACGGCACTCCTCTTATCTCAGAATCCTCAAAGAAGTGTTCGGGATTCTGCTCCAGTCTTGGCTTCCCCAGAAGGGGTGGGTGTGAACTGCCCACACTGGGCAGCTCCTGAAGCATCCTGGCCTCTACCTGTCTCCCACAGTGGGGCTGGTGTAAACACACCACTGCCAGCTGCCCTGCTGGGGCCTGGCTAGGGCCTGGCTCCCTGCAAACAGGTGGTGTGTGCTTGTGCCCAGCAGGTTGTCCCACAGTTTAAGGTCCTGGCCTGGTTTCCCCAGCAGGGCTGGTATTAGCTCAGCAGCCTGGAGACATCCTGCTGGAATCTGGGGAGTTTCAGGCTGACTATTCAGGGGTTTAGTGAGCTCAGAGTGCCCAGGAACAGCTACAGTACCCTGGGCATTGTCTGTCTGACCCAGCAGGCCTGCTGGGCTCTCCTGTTGCTCTGGAACAGCATATGCAGGAACGGCTTCTCCTGGCCCTTCCGGACCCCTAGTGTCTGCTTGTCTCCAATCAGCAACTTGGCTGGTCTCCTGGCCTGTCCCATGGGCAGCAGGGGAGCCTGGCTGTGCTCCTTGAGAAGGGGCTAAGGATGCAAAAGGACAGGCCATCAGCCACATGCCAGATTGCCACTTGCCTTTGCAAACAGACCACATGCTAGAGCCCTGAGCAGAGACCAGCCCAAGATAGGGGGCCCCTGGGATTCTGTTCCCCAAATTCGGCAGCTACAGATGCCAGGTCATACTGCTCGTGGTCTGAATCTAGCCCGTGTGGTCTCCTCCAAGGGCACCTGACCCTACCCCGCCCAGTCGGGCCCATGCACCATCCTGTGCCACTTACCCTCGGACAGCTCCTCCAGGGGCTTTGTGTACTCCAGCCAGTTCCTTTGGACATGTGCCCCAATCTCAAATTGCGGGTGCACTTCAACCTGGGCTCTGTGCTGGGACAGATCCCACACTGGGCTGTGGGAGGACAGTCGGGGAATTGCACTCTCTGGATCTCTTCACCTTCCTGGACACAGAACACCCTCTGGGAGCAAACAGACACACCTGCTGGGTAGCAACCAGCTGGGGCAAGAGGGAGCAGCCATGACTCTCTGGGTCCCACCACCAGCCAGGCTGGTTCTGGTGTAGACATGACCCGCCTCCTGGGTGGGCCAGACCCTCCTTCCTTGAGCACGCACACGCTCACTCTCACCGCTCGCACACCCACATTCACAGGGGGAAGGGAGGGTGGGGGCATCAGAGCCCTGGCGTGGCCTGACCTGTCCCGAGGGCCCCCCTAGTTTCCTCAGGGGCAGTGCTGGTGCTGGCCAGAGACGTCGACACAGGCTCCTCATGCCTTTCAGCAGAGTGCGACACGAGTTTCAGGGAAATTTTTTGGGTCCACTGCAGGGAGACCTGGGCAAACAGCAAGAAAACATGGTGCCGGGTCCAGGCCCACCAGGCAAGTGAGCTGGGTCAGATTTGGTTCAGAACCAACTGCCTGGGGACCAGGGTTCCGAGGTCATGTGTGCCCTGTCATCTCGCGGAGGTGATGTCACTTCCTGGGTCCCCTTCCCTGGACTTCCTGCTCAGACAGATGCCCCCCCCATCCCATGGCTGCCTGGGCCACTTCCTGTTCACCCTCCATGCCAGGCCCAGCCCACAACACTGACAGCAGCACAGCCTCCCTGAGCCCTTGGATGGCGAGACATGGCGAGACGTAGCCAGGGCCCCTGCTGGGCACTCTGGTCTCTGGCTGCTGACCTGGCTCATCCTCCCTGCCAGGGAGCAGGCCCTGCAGCATCGGCAACTCCAGGCTCCTGTCTCCCATGGGCCCAGAGGAGCTCCAGAGTGTGGAGCCTCTCCCAGGGCAGTCCTGGGAAGTGGGTCACTCCTCTCTGCTGCCCTTGAAGGGGAGGCTGGTGTCAGGCTCACAGCACTTGGAGGTTCCCACCCGGGGAAGGGCACCTGCACACGCCTCACCCAGGCCTGGCCAGCCCTGCTGGGGGCAGAGTCATCTCCCACCTGGGGTGCCTGTCCTCCCACCCAGAGTGCCTGTCAGGCCTGCTCCTCTCTGGCTGTGCCCTACAGGGCCTTGCAGGCCCAGTCAAGGTGTCAGGGCCACAGACAGTGCGCACCTGCCGGCCACAGATTTCTCAGGACCCCCTGCCTGCTCACATACCTGCCCACTTGCCTGGAGGTTGTATCGACTTGGGGCTGGGTTCTGACTGGGACGAGGCCACCCAAGGCAGGGGGTGTCCACTCCAACAGTGAGTGATGCCAGCGAAGCCTCTTCTGTCTCCTTCCCTGTCCTCACTGGCTGACTCTCCCTTTCTCTTTCTGTATGTCCCTCTGATGTTCTCTCTACCCCTCCTGGTCTGTCCTCATCTCACTCTCTGTGGTGTCCCTGTCCTCTCGGCTCCTCTGTCCCTGCCCCATTCCTCTGTGTCCCTGTCTCAGTCTCTCTCTGATCCCCAGTGTGTGGAGGACCAGAGGGAGGGAGGGGGGAGCACAGGGGCCTGAGGTGATGGTGCACGGGTGCCTTGGAGAAGGAAACTCTATGGGGACTACACCTGAGGGGGTGGGGGAAAGCAAATAGTGTTTACAAGTGAAAAGTGAAGTTAAAAAATAAAAAAAGAAGAGTATCAAAAAAAATACAATCATGCCTGCAGGATCCTGATCCTGTCTTGGCTTCTCCAGCAGTGGGGGTGTGAACTGTCCACCCTGGGCAGCGCCTGAGGCATCCTGGCCTATACCTGTCTCCCGCAGTGGGGCTGTTTTGATCCTGTCTCTTGGAGGCAGCATCAAGTTGGGTTTTGTTTTTTGGTACAACCAGTCACTCTGTGTCTTGTTCTTTGGTGAGTTCATTTCCATAAAGGGTGATGACATGATGACTTACTACTGTGCTTTTGTCTTTAGTCAAATCCAGACAAGACATGTGTGGTAACTGGAGCGGGTGGTGAGGGCTCCAGGGTCACTGCCTCCTTGGTGCCCCGGTCAGTTTGGAGGATGGTGTCGGTCCAGAGGCCCAGACATTAGCCAGGTGGCAGGGGTTCTGACCTTGGCACTGCCATAACCTCAGTCTCCATGTCCTTGTTTCTGAGAGGGTGTGGGGGAGGGGTGTCAGGACAGTATCACTTCCCAGTTCACAGAGTGCTGGGGAGGGATCTCCAAGGTCACATGGAGAAAATCACTGCTGAGGTCATGTAGTCGGCCTTTCATCAGCTCCCTGAGCCACTTCTGTTCCTGTGCCCACATCTGGCTTTCAAGACCCAGCTCCCATGTCCCCTTCCTGCTGAGGAAGGAACCTCCCTGGCTCTGCCTTGGCCCCCTCTGAGGCAGCTACTGCCCTTCTCTCCTCACACACCCCAGGCTGCAGGGCCTCCTGGGTGGGGTCATGTGGTTCTCTGTGACCTTAACACCCTGTGGAGTATGTTCCTGGGCACCAGCATGCATTAGATTAGGGTACCCCAAATGTCCACTGCAGGTCTGTGTCAGCGGAGTCGCCTGGGATGTGTTTAGAGAGAAGTTCCCTGGCCCATCCCCAGAGGCAGAGAGTGGGCTCTGGCTGCCCAGGGCTGGGGAGGGGAAAGTGGGGCTGGTGCCCATGGGCCCAGGCCCAGGAAACAAGGTTGTTGTGGTGATGGAGATGTTCTCAAGGTAGAGTATGGGATGATTGTCCTGCTCTGCACTTACCAAAAGGACATGACAGGTGAGCCTTCAACAAATGACAAAATGGCCAAAAGTTATATCTCAATAAGTTTTTTTAAACATTAAAAAATGGGTCTACAAGTTGCCCTGTGTCTGTCCTCCACTATCTTCATCAAGGGCTTATGGGAAACTGCCCTAGCCCACAAGGAGCTGAGCACAGACAATTTCACTGCACAGATGCTCTCAAGGCGCCTCATCTGCATGGTCCTGAGTCACACGATGAGATGCTGACGTCACGCTGCTTCTGTGATGGGAGAGACTTTTAGGGGTCTTGGGTGGGAGGCAGCTTATTTTTTATGTGGGCAGAATGGAAATAATGAGTGTCCAGAAGGTCTACTGTGTTGGTTTTCAATTCTCCACCAGTTCTGGGATACACAGGAGGGGAGACAGCTCCCCCCGTGAGTGTGTCTGACTCGCTGGCTCTTCCTCGTGAGGAGAATGAAGCAGAAGGGACGCGCCACGTCACAGAGTCAGGCTCACAGGGGCTGAGACTTCCCGCCCGGGCTCCCCTCCTGGTCCCTCTCTGGGGTGACTCCCTGCACACGGTGGACCCTCAGCTAAGGGGACGCCCACAGGACAAGGACCTGAGGGTTTTCTCCAGGAGCCACATGCAGGAGCTCTGAGGCAGGTCCTTCCACGCTGATCACGGCCATTCAGATCCGCCAACATCTCGTCCCCATCGCAGCCTCGTGGGACCCAGAGCTGGAGCCTCTGAGTGAGGCCCCTCCTGCCGCCTCCCCCTCAGAGACTGTGGAGACGCCAGATCTTTGTTTTAGGTGCAAAGGAGGAAGTGATTTGGTACAAACCAGTAAAATATTCAGGCGATAAAGGGATCAGTGGCTGTTTTCTCACAAGAAACAGTGGAGGCCAGAGTAGCTCACGTGACTGTCAAGGTCCTGATTGCAATGAGCTGTCAGACAAGGATTCCACGTCCTCTGAAGTGTCCTTCAAAATATGTGATTTTAAAAAATTAGTTCTACCGTTTTTAGATTCCCATTTAATTTTGCTGTTTTGTTTCTTTATACTATCCCCAGAGCGGTGTCTGCAGGGTCACGGCACAGAGGGGCTGTCAGCAGCCTGGAGCTGTGAGCAGGGCTGACTCTGACCCGCCTGCAGGGAGTGGGGCCTTGGAGCCCCAGAATCAGCCCCCAGTGCTGGCCCTCCAGGGCAGCACAGGCCTTTCTCCTCTTGATTCCCTGAATCACCTCCTCTTGATTCCAGGAATCTCCCTGCCACCCCAGCATTGGGGAGTTGGGGAGGATGTTGTGGCTCAGGAAATGGGGGCCTCCTCCTAACCATCTGTCCTCTCCTCCTCTCTCTCCTTCATCAGCCTGAGTGTGCGTGTTTGAGTCACACCAGCCCTGCACGGACAGGAAAGGCCCAGAACCTAAGTGATTCCCTGGTCAGTTACAGCTCCAGCCCCTCTGCAGTCCCACCAGGGGAGACAGAGACTCTCCCAGCCCCAGCCAGAGCCGCGTCACCCACACAGACCTTCCCTCACAGTGTCCTGATGCTGCCCCTTCCTGGCCCCACCCTTCCTGGTGCCCCCACCACTCTTTTGGGGCCCCATCCCCTAGTCCCATTTTCATCCCCTGCTCCATTTCCAGGAGCCTCCCTGTCTTCCTAGTCATGCCCTGGGGGCTCTCCTCAACCTCCCCTCATTCAGGAATGGAAATTTTTAAAAGATCTATATTTATTTATTTATTTCCTTACAGCGTGGGTCATCTTTCTATAGTTATTGTTCCTCTTAGGTGCGGCCCTTCCACCAATGATCCACCACACACCACCACCAGCTCCCCGGGTCTCTCCCCGGCTGTGATCACTCCTGCTCCTCCCTGCTCTAAGACATGGATGGGTTATCGGCCCACGGGTCTTGGCGTTTCCTGGAACCTTGTCCTTTTCTTGGGCGAGGCCCTGGGCTCCTGGGTAGAATTGAATGTTAATTCCCTGGAAGCAGAAGCAGAAACAAAGTACAGAGACTCTGGAGTCCAAGGATCCATCCGAGACTGAAGGAACCTCTATATTTGGGGATCAGCCCATAATCTGGGAATCAGCTGTAATGACCTGGAAACCTGCTTTGTCCTTTGTCCATAGGACTAAGAAAATTTGAGGACTTCCGACCTGACACTGGACTTGGGCGCCCCCTTGTGTGCAGATCCCTGTCCTGCCGCTGGGGGCCCAGGGAGCCTGGGGAGGGCCTGGCTGAGCAGGAGAAAGGGCGGCTCTGGGCTCCTGTGCTCAGCCCTGTGGCCACACGGGGGCGCTGCCGCGCTGCTCCGGATTTGGTGGCGCCGCCAGGACGGGCGGGGCTGAGGTGGGCAGAGTTGGGGGTGCTGGAGGGCGGGACCTGGGGGGTGAGATGCTCTTTGAGGAGTCAGAGCAGCAGGGCTCAGAGGAGAGGAGACTCCGGAGCCTGCCCTGTGTGTGAGGTTTCCATTTTCTCCCAGAACCCCTCTCTCCAGTCCCTGGACGGTGATACCTGGGAAAACTGGAAAAGAAAAAAATTTTTCTTTATATAACCTATTAAATATTGAGAGTATTTTAAAAAATAACATTTAAAGAATACTGTTCGATTTACAGAAAAGTTGCAGAGGCAGTACACGTCTTGTTTATCCCACACCATTCCATTTGTTAACATCCTACATGAGTACAGATTTTTTTTTTACCACTAAAGCAGCAAATGTTGACAAATAACTAAACGCCATACTTTAATTCGTTTTTGCTAATGTCCATTTTATGCCCAATAATCCCATCCAGTTTGCCTGGATGACAGTTTCTCAGACTTTCCTTGTTTCCCTTGGGAGAGGTGTTGGGGGTCCAGATGGGCTTCTTGGGTCACCTCTAAGA